ACCCCACTCCTCAAAAGTTAAATGGACTGTCCCTAATGAGTCTCTGTATGCAGCAAAATAAAAATACCAGATTAACTACCATCATCCAACAATACTATCTGACAATTCAAAATAGCATCACTGCACATTGCCTATTGGTCAGTGATAATGATGATACTATGTATATACATGTAGCAAGGGCCCAGGACTGCTCTTCACCATCAAATAATGAGACAGTCAAACAAACCCTTGCAGGTATATCTGCACATATAGTCACCGCACCTTAACTGGCATAAGGATTGGCCGGCTTATTATGTGCAACTATATGAATAATATTATGTAATCACTACATTACATTCTTGATTCCACAAGAGTCGTAAAGGAAGTTCACCCCCTGGCAAATTTGCGGCAATTTCTTCCGTCTTGCTATTCATTCAAGTGTCTTTCATTTTCCTCATTACATATATACAACTTTTGCATAAAAAAATGAGCACTGGAAATAGTGTATAGACAGTTTAAAACCAAAATGCATTGTCAGTGGTCAGATTACCCTCTAAGAGAAGATTTTACCATTTCTATATTGATTATATAAATGCCAGGTTACCTTAGATGGAAAGGCATTTACTGTAGCTTGTTAATTTATTGTTAACACCCCTTACTTTTACATGTAGGTGGAATCCAGTGACAACAATGCTTTACAGAATTGCAATACACTATGTAGTATCACAGTATTGAAAGTTTTTTCAAATCGCTGTATACATGTAATTTATAAAAAGTATAAATTTTAGAGAATATTGCATAGGTGCGTGGGGATACGCATCATGTCTTCGAGTGTTGAAAAGATTTTTCAACACGAGAATATAAAATTCGTATCTCTAAGCGACCATAAAATACTCTTTTTATCATAATGTACAACGCTTCTACCACAAAAGGATAACTAAATAAAGAAACAAACCAACCAGCTACTAAGACTAACCTAAGAAGTTTAGAACGTTGTTTCTCWGCCTTCTTCTTGTGTATGTACTCCATCAAGACTCTCTTGTTCTTGAACACGTTACCTTTAGCCTTCATGTAYAGAATGTGGTACATGTGGTTGTCGATCTTCTTTGCCTCCCGGTACTTGCGAAGAAGTCGTCGCAATACTCGCATACGTCGAATCCAGATAATTTTCTGTGGCATACGAGCATTGGCAGTACCTTTTCTCTTACCATGACCACTRTGTCGGCCCTTTCGYCTGGCTTCATCAGCAATGCGTACCCTAGCACGGCTGTGGATTACAGTTGGCTTCTTGATAATGAGACCATCTTTAATGAGTTTGCGAATATTCTGACCTAAAATAGCAAAGCATAGAACTTACTTAATTTAAAAGGCTATGTCTACTGGCCAGTACTAAACATTCATTTTTTATCTAATGAACTACTTGTGCTACATTTCTATTACAAAAGTCAATATTTCAAGTACTTTTGGATCTCTAAAACCAAGAAGTTTCTGGACGCTTACAGGAATGGGCTCCTGGTCCACCTCATCTCAAATTCAATTGTTCATTAAATTATTATTAATCTTGAGAAGTTTTCAATAGATGTTTGTCAATAGATACATACGTGAGTTAGCGTTTGCAATCTCGTTGCTCTCGTTGGGGTCCAGCCAGATTTTCTTTTTACCACATTTCAGCAGGCTGGAGGCCAGCCGCTTTTGAAGTCTCAATGTACTGCAAATAATTATTTCAATAAACAAAATGGCACTCGCTTCTAGCAAAGTATTATTTACAGCCTTGGAAACCATACATTGTTACATTCGCATTATAATATGACAAACTTTTACTTAAAATACACTGTAACCAAACGAAGTTTTACAGAAGTCTATAGAAAAATCCACCTCATTTTATACAATTGTTAGGTTCGTTACGGGCAAATACAACTCACTACATAGTAAATAGTAATAAATAMAAATAATCGMTGGCCAACCAACAGTCGAAAGTCTAAATTTAACCGATCACGAAGACTTTTTACAAGAAATACAAAATGGCTGACCAAAGCAAGCTCTCACGTGTTTCTATTCCAAAATCAATTATTTCCTTTTCTATAAACAATTTTCTACATTTTTATTGAACCATAGATAATTCAGGGTTCCTTTAATAATACTGCGTAAATAATAGTTCATTATTGTTAACCTAACAAGAGTTATTTGCCATTTTTCTATGTTAACTACCACATCTTCCCTCACCTCATAATGGCGGCTTCTGAAAGGAAGAACGTGGTGGTGCAATGGTGCCTATAGGGGGGACATAGTAATTGCYCAATGAGCCATCGGTGAGTTGAGACAGCGGTTATACCAAAGSAGTTCTGCACGTGTTGTTTGTAATCATGCCAAAGTCGAAGAGAAACAAGATTGGTAWAGATTATTAACGGCTATTTTAGCCATATTAGTGTATTATTGCATTTGATAACACTCATTATTAATCTATGTTGCTAGTTTCATTGACAAGAACGAAGAAGAAAGGCCTCGAAACGAAATCTGGCTTGATCAAAGAGGTAAACGAAGGCTCCTATTATATTTTGTGTTTTGTGTAATTATACCAATTATTTATTAGAAACTCTTAAAAGTCTGTTTTCTTCAGCAGACGTCGTAGTATCATATAGTCTTAATTATGATATTTTATAATATTTCATTTATTTGCATTTTTACAATCTCATGATAATAATATAGGATACAGTATTTAAAAAAAGAACTAATATTAATATTAATAATAATAATCTTTATTGAGGATACTTTTTCATTAAAAATGATTTTCAAAAAGGACTTTGACTATAATATTAAAAATAATAATAAACTATGGATAAAAATACATGTATATGTATAGAAATTAGAAATCTAGATAGAAAAAAATCATAGAAAAATAAAATCATAGAAAGCAAAACTTATATTGATCATTTTCAACCATTCCCAAGAGATTCAAAAGATAAAAGAATGGCAGCCATGTTGGAGAAGAATAGGTACTAATGAGAAATACTTTGTTAAAGTTCCTCCAAGATGGCCGCTATGACGTAATTTGAAGACGAAGAATATCATATGATTCATTGTTTATACATGCACCTATGAATGCCAAGTAATGGAAGGAGGAGGATCCACCAGTTTTTGAATTCATATGCGCATTGTTATATATCATACATGATAAGATGATGGTTTTGTTAATTCTGCAGATACAAGAATGTGTAGATCARTACAAAAGTCTGTATGTGTTTTCAGTGGAAAATATGAGAAATAGTAAACTAAAAGATGTTAGAGAAMAATGGAAACATAGCAGGTACAGATTCTATTTTTTATTTGTTTTATGATATGCTTTCAATATATGAATTGCTGCTGACACATATAACATCATCTACATGTGTTTGTACATCTAGTATTATGGTTGCCCTCAAACCAGTGGCTCTTATTTCACTTTTGCTACAATTTACTATACTAGGTTTTTCTTTGGTAAAAATAAAGTAATGATCATAGCTCTTGGAAAGAGTGCAGAAGATGAATACAAAGAAAATTTACGTGAAGTCAGCAAGGTAGGGTAAAGACCATTGGTTTTCTTTATTATGTTATCAAACCAGTGTCATAAGGAAGGCAAAGCAAAAGACATTTCCTCTCTATCATTTGTGGTTGTTTTGCTATAGGGTCAGGGGGAATTTATCCACGTATCAGCCAGATTTGTTGTTTAGTAAACTGAATCCATGAAGAACCTTGTATAAGGTGTACTGTAGTGATAACATGTAATTACTACAACATTAAAGATAATAAAAAATGGTAATAAGTGTTATAAGTTGTAATACGCTGTTGTTTATTTCATGGGGTTTAAAAGCCACTCAGACTTCATCGGTAGAACTGKTTACGGCACTGTTTTGTCAATTAATCAAATATTGAATGATTTTTAAATCATTAAAATGATTGAAGGTCTATAATTGTGAAATCTTCTTTTCAGAGATTAAAGGGTCAATGTGGTTTGTTATTTACCAATCAATCAAAAGAAGAGGTTACCAGGTACAAAGTATTCTTAACTGTAGATGTTTTCTGAGAAGGAGAAGGGTACAATAATSTTTTTAGATATTTTATACTCATTGGTATTTTTGCTTTAATAGTCATGTTTTTGTGAAAATCTTTACTGACTGCCTATGTACCATTTTTAGTTGGTTCAATGAATAYAGCACAATGGATTATGCAAGGTCTGGTAACAAAGCACTTTATGATTTTACACTTGATGCAGGTATGAAAATAAAACTTACAGTTACCGTAAGGTAAATACACCTGTTTACTATCAATGCTCAAAACAATAGAATTCATGATAGCGGCTGTGTCAGAAAAAAGATCTATAATTAGTTCAGTGCAAGAAAATTAATAGTGGATTTCA